ACTGATGATGCTCCAGTTAAAGCCACTTCAGCTGAGGACAAGCTAGTTAAGGGGGCATTGCAAGTTAGCAGGATTTTTTTTCTTACCTCCCCCTTTTTCTTAGCGGAAACCAGGCAAACGAAATGCAAAAGTCACGCGTGCCCCTCCCTTTCCTGAAAAAGCCAAACACCTTTAAAAGTTTACACTGACCAACTTCAGCGGTGACAAGTCTTTGCTTAGAAAAACTATCTCCCCCTGACCACCATCGCTGTGCAAGGGCCAATGCTGATGGGGAGGTCGCACTAAATGACTGTGACATCTGAATTCCAAAGTCACTGAGAGAAAAGAAAAGTGCCCTGCCCTTCACAGTGATAGCTGCACCTACTGTTCGACTGGGGTGTGGGCCAAAACCCCTGAGCTGAGCATTCAAGCTTGGGGATGCATAGCTGTATTTTGCAAATGGCTCCTATCTTCCTAATGGGCCAGACCAAACACTGCAGAGCTGAACTCTGGAAGCGTTCAAAACCCGGATGGAGATTTTGGACCTGGGGATCTATTTCTACCTTTGGTCTAACACAGAGTCAAGTGCTAGCTAGGCTCTGCAGTCGCGCAGACACGTTCAAAACGATGGTGATTTGGCTCCTCAGCAATCTAGGGAAATGAGATGCTTGTGTAGAACCATGGGGAGACCCCACACAGGCACATGAAAAGTTCCAATCAGGGAGTTTCTGAAGCCTTGTCAGTTTCCAAAGTTCTAACAGAAAGAGAAGGGCCTATTTTGCCTTTGAAATGTTTTAATGCAGAAAGCATGTCTTTAAAGCATAGCTTTAAGGGCTACAGTTTCATTGGCTTATGTACAGTATTTCACTGTCGCCATTCCAAGGAAACACCCAGAACTTCCAACGTGCTTTTTATTATTGATCAGAGTGTCAGATTCACATCGATTCTTTCATATGGAAAATATTCAATGGAGTTGTTTTTGTTTGATGTAGTGATACCGATCTTAGTACATCAGTGATATAAGGTGACCTGTCATGGTTAATATCATGCTGCATGTCAAAGTTACCTGACTGGGAAACTGCATCTGTCTTTAAAAACTTCTTCCTTGTTGACAAGAGGCAGATCAAGTCAGTAGCTGTCTGTGTTTTGTTACATCAGGACTTAACATTTCCATAAAGACATGAGTCACCATTTACTTGTATTTGTTTCAGAATGTGACTGCTAAGCTGGAGGAGAGACCGCTGGGTGACATCTGAGAGCAAAATGCTATAACCTTGCGGGCTATCTGGTGGCAAAAATACACCCCAGCAGTGCAGTGATGGGTTCCGTATGCAAAAGACTCAACACCTCTTGGGATTGGGTTCTTGGGACTTGAGCCAAGACTCTTAGAAGTCAATGGAAAGACTCTCACTGACTTCAATGGGCTTCAGACGAAGCCCAGAGTTTGCAGAGCTTGGAAACTATCTTCCTTTTCTTTAGGGTGCAGCAGTCATGTTAATTTGTCCATGTGGGTTTCCTCTGTGTGTTAAGTGTGGTTTGATGGTGAAGGGCTTTAATACAATGAGCCGCTGCAGAAATCAAAAGCTGGGGACGTTCTCATGAAAGAAGCACATTAATAGTGACTCCGCTCTTGCATGACATAGTCTGACGTTCCCAGCTTTAGAGAAAAGCGACAGGAAGTCTCAGCAGCACAGGGTGTGCAAAAATCTGCTTGTTGTTTGTGGAGGCTGGGGTTTTTTTTTAACTCATGTGCTTCTTTCTTCAATTTGTTTTGCACAGTTGGGCCCTGCCTATAGGAATGGCGCTAAGCCACCTTTGAAACCCTAGCTACAGGGTCAACAGGCCAAACAACAGTATAACAGAGTTGGCTTCCATTCTGCTAAGTCACCGTGCTTTACCATTGTCAGTTTCATAGGGTAGATGGCCCCTTGGCTTCAATTTTTCAAAAGTGACTACTGATTTTAGGCACCTCCATCTGGGGGGGCTCAGCTCAAGACACCTTAAAGAGGCCAGGTTTGCAGAGAGCAGGTGCTCAGCACTGTCTGGAAACCAGTCCTTTTTAAGATGTTTAAGTGAGGAACCCAGAATCACTAGCCACTTCTAAAATACCAAAACAGGAGACTTCACTGCGTGCACCACTCCCCCTGGCAAGCGAGAGACCAAACGTGACAGATGTCAGTCTTGTTGCTTAATGCACAACTGGAAGCTGATGCCCACAGTATTTTGGTGGTGAGCATAGTATAAGGACCTGTACAGACTAGAATAGAGCTTTTCTCACTTCCACATAGCTTGGAATCCATTTTTAACCATTTTTGCTTTCTGGTTCCCATTACTAGCCTGCTGGTGCTATGTTTGGGTCTGCAACACATCAGGAGAATGAGGGGGCAGAGAAAGAGAAGTGGGAAAGAGACATTGATTTAAAAAATGGAAATATTTTTATTCCTCTTGTTGTTATTTTGTTCCTATCCCTGATATGGATAAAACACCCACATGCCCCTTTTATGACAAATCTAAGGAGGGTCCTTCTGCCTTTCAATAGATTGGTGCCGTTCCCACTGATTTCAGAGGAAGTATCAGCAAATTTATTCATTGGCTGAATTTGGAGCTTTAAACTAGTCGACAGTGTCCCTTGGAACACGAGGTTTGAGTTCAATAACTATGATGAGCAATAAGAGATGTAGGACTATACATTTACAATGAGCTTTACAAAGTGAGGCTCCGATCTCGCACTCAGACCCCAACAGGATCCTTCCCTCACCTACATGCTTGTGGAGATCCAGGCACAGGGCGACTGCAGAATGCAGACGTGAGTGAGATGAGACGAACCAATGCAAGATAGTGAGACAGTGGTCAGAAGATCTGTAAAGCGGAAGTGTGGGAACTACTTTCATTCTACTTGGCTGTAAATTGTAACTTGAGATACTATAACCGTATGTGGGGGGGGGAGGGAGGAGCAAATATGGAGCAGTTAATGTGGGGCCTTTAAGAGCTGAGTGTGTCCCTTTTTAAAAGCCAGCTGAAGTTGCATTTCGGTCCCTGTACATTATGTTATTTGGTTGCATCAGATAACGTGCAGCTGTGATCTGCAGTGAGTCAAAAATCCTCCCCTACTAACTCCTCGTGTTGCCTTCCCCTTTGTTGCCCCTCCTTTGAAACTGGGATAACGTGTTACCCATCTTTGCTTTGAGGTCCTTGGATGACAGGTGCTGCAGATGTGCGAAGTGTTGGTTCATCAGGCGGACTTGTATACTTCAGCCCGAGAGCGTGTGGAGCGTGCAGATGTAAATCTGAAACAACTCTGCTGGTTTCCCTGGAGTCACTCCAGGTGTGCGCTGGTGTAACTGAGATTGGAATCTGGCCCAGAGAGAGAGAGGACGTTTCATATTGACTGAGACAGTCAAATGTGAAAATGGTGTGGCAAGTGCATTCCATGCTCCCTTTGCTTCAGGCTGACTGGCATCAATTGAATGATTATCCCCCTGCCCTAGCAGCCTCTGTCTGAGGATCTCAAAGTACTTTACAAGCATTCCTTGCTTGGTGCAGTACCTCAGTGAAGCAGCTGAACATTCTCCCCATTTTACAGATGAGAAAACTGAGGCCGAGAGCAGCACAGTGGATGTCCAAGATCGTGCACACAGTGACTGTGTCAAAGCCAGTTCTCCAGACTCCCACTGCTGTGGCTTAGCCATCACATCTTTCCTTCCTAGTTCTCTGTGAACAGTTTGACTCCTGGGGACTGCAGTGAAATACTCTGTCGTTTGTGCAATGAGCAAGGACAATGAAGATATTTTTAATTCAGCTTGTCCTTTACTTATTTCCCAGGCGTGTAGTGGCTGTGCCAAGAAATGGCATTTACAGTCATTTGCATCTGTTTCCATTTCTTTTCCCAAATGAATTAAGAGCCGTTGTAGGGCCTGGTGACTAGGGCAACATGGAGGGCATCAGGACTCAGGAGACCTGGCTTCCTGTTCTCAACCTGGCAGTCGGGGAGCTGGGTTTTGCAACCAGGAAGGTGGGGGTGGGGGCTGGTTAAGACACGAGGGGAAATGGGTAGCAGGATCCTGGAGGGTTAGGAGCAGAGGGGGTGAAGGTAGAGCTTGGGGGCTGTAGCGGGGTGGTCACCCGCTTCTGCCCTGAAGGACTTGAAATCAGTCCTGGGAGAGGGCTGAGGCTGCAAGAGGGCTGCTGCTAGGGAAAGCAGCAGGCCTCGGCTGATTGGGGAAACAGCCACAGCTGAGGCCACTCCCCAATCAGGGCCCAGCTGGCCTTTATAAGAGGACATAGTCTTTCTCTAGATGTTGAGAGGGAAGGGCCACCTGGGGCTGGGCCAGGCTGTGGGCTGGGCCCTCCTGCAGCATGGTCCATGCCGAGGCCTCTGCGCGTGTGTTAATGCATGCAGGGTGCATACTGTCTGCATTCTGCTGACACCTGTTAGCAGTTTGTTAACATGCCTTGATCTGGTCCCGTTTCAAAAAGGACTAGATCAAAGCACACTAAGGAACTGTGAATGAGTGTCTCAGTGCCCACAGGTAGTTATTCTGCACAGCGACAGGCTAGTACGGGATAGCTCATGCTCCAACTTGCCTCGGATCTGCTGCCCTAGGCAACTGCCTAACTTGCCTATGCCTAGAGCGGCCTCTGTGTATAATATGCTGGAAAAGGCACCACACATACCACTAAAGGGGGCAGTCACCCCTTCCCCAGTCCCGATTAGCTCCGCCACTGACTGCTGGGTGACCTTGGGCAAGTCACTTCCTCTCCTCCGCCCATGCCTCAGTTTCCCCTCTCACTCTTGCTGTTTAGATTGTAAACTCTTTGGGACAGGGACTGTCTCTTACTATGTGTCCGTACAGTGCCTAGCACAACAGGACCTGATCTCAGTTGGGGGCCTCTACATGCTACCGCAATACAAGTAATACGACCAAACTGTAAACTGTTGTACTAGTCTCACTTTTTATTGACAAGGGCTCTCTAGCCAAAGGGTAATTGATTAAATCTCGGATTTTCTCACAATGTTTCAGGGCACAGACAAAAGCTAGAAGACCAAGCCAAGCCCTACACAGACCGCTATAGCGAACTGGAACGTCTGCGCCAGACTATGAGAGTTACCCCAACAACTCCCAACCCCCGAGGATCCCTGACCGCCCCAGGCCACTTTGGGTCACAGACTCAGACTCCAATACAAGGTAACCGGGTTGGGTTCATTAGCACTCACCTGCCTTGACACTTGAGTCCCTTAGGCTGACTTGGATAATGTGTCCCAGATTCTGCCAGGAATCTTCCTTGTGCAGTTCATGAGAGGTGGAATTTCTCTCGCTCTCCCCAACCTTGAGTGTGCCAGATGATGTGTTAACCCTGCCCCCCATGTGGGAGGGGCCTAAGGTCCCCATGTGGGAGGGGTTAAACTGCTGTTGGGGAAATGGCAGGATTGAGAGTTCAGAAAGGAGACAGCAGGGGTCAAAAGAGGTTGAAACAGGAGGAGATCTCTCTCTCACTGCACCAGCCAAGTCAGAGGCGGCGCCTTCAGATGGGGTGGGGTCTGCACTCCCTCTAGCTCCCCTTTGAATTCTCTCATGATGGAAGGTCACATTAAATGAGAGAGGGCATCCAAGGTGTTTGCAAGTGAAAATGCACAAATCGCTACTTATGCCTATAGATAATTAACCTGGAGATGTCAGTGTGTTCTTCCAAGCATGCACAGGGTTCGGATTTCATTGCTAGATTGGGCTAAGCATTTGAAAATAGACTGTCCTGCATTGCAGCGACCCGTCCCCTGAGACTTGCTTGCTTAATGTTCTAGGTTTTTTTATCCCACCTCTTACTTCTGTGATTTATAATCACATCATTTTCTCCCAGTGGAAATTACATATAAAGTAATAAAAGGGTTGAATGAGAAACAAAATTAAATTTTCAGCTATAATTTTGTTACTTTTTTTTTCAAAATTCAAATTTTTGATGAAAAAATTGAAATTTCACATTTTCGTTTAGTGGGGTAAATTTTTAAAAAGTCCCTAAATCCCGTTTTCAAAAGTGACTTAAGTTTTTAGGCCCAGACTCTAAAAATTAGTTAGGTGCCAAACTCCCTTAGAAACCAATGGGAGTTAGGAGCCTACATATCTTTCAGGATCAGGGCTTTAGGAACCTACGTCGTTGACAGTCAATGAGACTTAGGCGGCTAAGTCACTTAAGTACCTTTGAAAATTATACCCCAGCTCCAAAGCAGGTAAATAACTACAACTAAAATTCAGTGAAAATTTTATTTAGATTCTTTTAATTGAAATTATCATTTTTTTTGACGAGCTCTCCTGGGAAATTTAATTAAGATTAGTATCGCCTATTAAAGGGATGCTGCCAACTCGTTTTACAACCATTGTTTAAGTTTTGTTTAGAGGAGGGAAATTTTAGAGACCTCATAGATATCGTGCTCTTTCATGATTTAAAAAGATTCACTTTATGCATATATATGTATTTTAAAAACTGACATGTTCCCCTGTTGAAAACCTACATAACGGTTTTGGGCAAGTGCCTGAGAATCAGGTAGTGATACTGACTTGAAATCAAAGTGAAACTGGCCAGGATAATTTCACTGAAATGCAAAAGGCCAAGCAACAACAGAAATGGTGAAAAGCCAATTAGGTGTGTAACATTCTTTCCTTTTTGATAATCTAAGGTATCAGGAACTTTAAAAAAATACAGGGGGGCAAATTCTGTGCCCAGTTACATGGCGTTACTGCAGTAAAGTTAACAGAGCTACTCTGGATTTGCCCCAGTGTAAGCAGGAGCTAAATCTGTTTTATAACGTTTTATCTTGAGAGTGTCCTTTTGACTTAACACAAACTATAACCAATAATAATTATAAAGCCCCTCACAGACACACATGTGATTCACAACGATCGTAATTTTTGCCCAGGCCATTAGAACTCAACCCTGCCAAGAATAATAGAAGAGTTAACAGGCCTGTAATTTTTCTCATGTCTTGGCACGTTCTTAGGTAACACGTATAAGAAGACGATTCACTCTGAAGTGTAAAGAGATGACACAGGTTGGGAGGGCCAAGGGGGAGATGCTGGAAGCTATCTATGGTATTTAGACAGTTCCCATTGTCGTAGCAGCTCAGAATCTTCAAACTAGCCTCACAACACTGCTGTGTGGTAGGGCAGTGCCATTATTCCCATGGACTAGATGGGAAACAGGGGCACAGAGAGACTAAATGAGTTGCCCAAGGTCATACAGAGAATCAGTGGCAGAGCCAGCATTTGACCCCCCTCCCCCCCCAGGTCTTCCCAGTCCTAGGCAAGCACCCTGACCACTGGGAAATCCTTCTTCTCTGGGATGCAGTTTGGCTACCCATGTGTGTCGCTGCAGATTGTCAATAGGGATTGAGTGAATCTTCTTTCTGGAACATAAATTGTTAATGGGCGCCTATGGGCTATGGCCCTATTCTGGGCAATGTGGGGCAAGTTTTGTGACCGTCACCAGCAAAAGAAAATGGGAAGCAATATGGACTAGAAGAGCAGCATTCGACTGTAACCTGAGTGGGCCTACACACAATCCCCTCGGGTGGGCAATGCCTGCTTGGAGTTGCATAGGGGACTTTTGAGCTATGACTCTCACTTGCTCTAGTCACTGGAGGATCAGTGTTCTGGGCCTGCCTATGTACATGCCAACCCTTTTCCTCATTCTCCAGGCCTTGCTCAAACCGAGACAGAGCCAGCTCCAGCTTTGGCCATGTGGAAAAACCCTCCCACCTGCCTCCACGCTGCCTGCCACCGCCGAGGCTTCTGCTCCGGTCTGTAAATTGCATAGAAAACGGACATACTGGTCCAAACCCTACTTTCCAGCTGAGGTTGATGGAGTGACTCTGGCGTTAACGCTGGGGTAATTTAGAGCAGAATCTGACCCTCTGCACAAGCCTTTCACTGAGGCAGCCCCTGGTGTTTATAAATAGCCTCCCTCTTCCTCCACCCCCCACACCCTCCCCATAAAACAATCATCCTGAGGTTAAATCTAAAAATGAAAAACCTCCCAGGAAGAGAAAAACCTGATCATTTCTGGTGGGCTGGTGAGGAAGCACATAAGGAAAGTTTACCCATGCCCAAGTTCAGAGCGCCTGATTGTCTTCTCACTTCCGTCGGTTTCACACCGTTAAATGCCATTCATTTCAGTGGGGTCAGTCCTGGTGTACACCAGCATTAGTGAGAAGAGAATCAGGCCCTTCATATATCTGCATGCAACTGCAGTTTACTCCTGTTACCATCCCTCGTCAGGCCACAGTCTGCTTTCACTTGGCACCAGTGTAAATGCAACTGGAGACAAAGGGGTTGCTCTCGGTTTACACCAGAGTAACTAAGGTCAGCATCTGGCTCTGCAGTGTGTTAAATAAGCGAGGCAAGATCATCAGCTCTGGTACATAAATCAGCATAGCTCCATTGACTTCAGCAGAGCTGAGTTAATTCTAGTGAACTTCTGTAGAAGATCTGGCCCAATATTTCTCGAGCAAGCCCTGTGAAATCTGAGGTTTTAAAAACTTGGCTCTCCCATGCACTGTGAAATGCCAAGCTATCATTAGAACGGTTTGAAAATTTTCCCTTATTATGGGGCATGCACAGACACAGCTCCGTGTTGCTGAATTTCCCATCTTTGTTTCTTTTTTCTTTTCTATTTGTCTTAGGTCCTTACCTTGCGGGTTTTGTCTCTTAACTAGAATAGTTGATCAGCCTCCAAAAATTAAACGCTATGTTAAAGGAACATATGTCAGACTCCCTGAGGCTGTTCTGAGGTCACGTTGTTCAGTGAAGGCAGTCTGAATGGTAGCAAATAGCTGTGGTACTAGGAAAAAATGTAATTGTCCTAATAGTTGACTAGCTTTCCCCAGGATTCTTTCTTTCTCTCTGTCCAAAATATGGGCCTGGTTCTGCTCTACTGAAGTCAGTGGGAACATTACCAATGATTCAATAGGAGTGGGGCAGGGCCTGAGATACTATGCAACCCAGCATTCTAGAGTACTAAGGGCTTGTCTACATGGAGAGTTATTCTGGGGCAGCTATGCCTGGTTAACTGTGTGTGTGGATGCTCTTAGTCCGGAATGTGAGTGCCTTCATCCCTGGGTTAAAATAATTCAGAATCAGGCACTCTTATTCCTGAGCAACAGGATCCACACATGGAGTTAATCAGGAATAGTTAATCTGCTTTAAATTCATACTTTACTTTATTCTGGATTAATGTTCATGTGTGGACAAGCCTGAAGTAACACAAAACAGACTCAAAGCCAGTGGATCCAGATGTGAGGATTACGCTGTCATGGGGGATTCTTCCTGTGATATCCGTATGCTATGCCAGCCCACTGGCTGTGGATGTGTCACCATGGTCAGGAAAAAGGACATCTCAGCACTTGTGCAATCCCTGGCTGCAGGAACAGGTCTTGGGGGCCATCGGCATCTTGGGGAACCAGATCGGTGCAGAATCAGCCCGGGGACTGGGGCACAAACGTCTGCCCACCTCCACCTACCCATGCCTTGAGGGCAGCTGAGAACAGGGCATCTTGTTTTTAGAGCAAACCACCCCAAAATGGTGGCTTTTAAAAATAACGATGTGTGTGTGAGCGATGGATTTCAAAAACTCACACTGCTGTCTCTTCCAGCAATGGCGTAACACAAGTGGATGGGGCGGTGTGCCTTTAGACTGGCAGAATTTGGTTTTCTCGTGTGTGGAATTTTCCTACCTTTTTAGAATTGAGACAAGATGCGTCCTTACTGCAAACTGCCAATCTGACCCAAACATATACCAAACCTCAAGCGCCCTTCTCCTTGCGCCAAAGACGATGACAAAGCAAAGTGTGACATGATTTATACACGCACTTGCAACATGTTTCCTCTAGCTGCCGTCCGGGCCCCTGGGCTGTAGGGGCTTCATGAATGACTCACTGCCGCATAACTGACATGGGTCTCGTTAGTATCAGTTGTTGCGGGGGTGGGGCGGGGGGAAAGGGAGGGAGGCTCCTTTGAAAACAAGAAACGTTGTCACCTTCCTGTTGGGTGTTTCAAAATTGTTTCTCTGGGTTGGCTGGCCAGTTGCTGGAGTGAACCCAAATGCGGAAGAACCTGATCCGGCTCTCATCCCATTGTTGCTAATGAGAATCTTTCCGTTGACTAGGGTGGGTGTGGGCTCCGGCCATATGCCAGTGGTA